GCAAGAAGAGACCTGGAGTACGCACCATCGCTGTGAAGCCAGTGCCAGACTCGACTCTGCCACCTTGGAGCTCTACGCCGCAGGTGTTGAATCCAACACACATCAACGCCTCGCGTTGTCTTGGCTCTTGAGGGCCGTCCTGTCTGGCAGTGGCTTGCTCTCTATGGTTCTCACTCAGTACGCTGCCGATGCTAAAGACACCTTCCTAAACGCTGTCCACCGCCGGAGACTCGACCCAGAACTTCTTGCAACTATTCTCCGGCGCATTGTCCTTGGCAACGCCACACCTGAGGCGCGTATGCAGCAGTGGTCAGAGTTCCGCCGCAAGGCCTACGTGGAAAATTTGATCTCCGAACGGAGGGTGCCTATGAGTTAGCACGCCTCGTCAACTCCGGCAAGCTGAGCCAGATTGCAGCAAAGCTTCCTTTGTGCACCACCTCTGCTCAAGTTTTCACACACCTCTCGAAGATCTCAGTTTGCAATCCCTTCCTCCAGTATTTGATGTATAGAGACTTGTGTGAATACTACGACCACTTTCCACCTTCAGCTCATGTGGGTTCTGGTGCCACGAAACTTCTTCAACGCTGCTGCGGAGCTGCCGAACCCGACGCTTTGCTCGAGCTTCATGCATGGTTGACACCACGCTTGCCCCATGAATGGCTCACTCTCACCCTTGGTGAACGCGGATGGACTGCGCGTGACACAGAACACGCCCTGTGTGAGAAACGCCGCTATGAAGCCGCTAAGCGCAAGATGAAGCGGCCTCGCGCCAAAGGCGTGCAGACTCGCTTGGCCCTCCGTGCCGCCCGCTTGTCTAAAGTTTGGCGCCTCTTAAAATTTAAACAGCGCCCACAAGTCTGTACACGCCAGGCCTGATGCGGTAAAAAAAGCGGGCGCGAGCATCGCCATATCCTGGGCCACCATTTTACTTCCGCTTCCACTAACCTTGCCTGCCTCATATTTCTGGTGGCCATGCATCATCATTTGAACTCCCTGCAGCCTCGTGGCCTACTGACTCAATCATTTCTATCCTTTTCTCTTCTTCCTATTCCTTTCCTTTTCTTCAGGTCCCGCTGCTTTGCTCTAGATGCGCACTTGCCTTTCTCCGCCAGCGCATCCTTTGCCGTATAATTACTTCCCCATGTCCAGCTGTAATATTCTTCTGCCGTTGCACCGCTTTCAGGTGCAGACTCTTTGCAGGTCTGGACATCTAGTGCCTTGGCAGAACAGGATGGGCTTGACTATAATGGTGAGGTTCTATTGGTCGCCCTCATAAGAGTTTGAGGGCAAAGAAGGAGGGGAGATTTTCGATGATTTTCGAGTTCAGAACTTGGTCAAATCCGAGCAATGACCCTAGCTACACTCCCTGGACGAATCAGCGAATCAGCAAATCCGAGCGTATGTGGAGCATTTTGGAAAGCTGGTGCTTGGACCTGACGCCATCCATTCCTCGATTTTTCCAAGTCTCCAGGTCACCGGAGGCACCTTCTTGGGAGAAGCCCATGAAACCAGCACCAGTGGACAAATAGGTGTCCACATGCACCTTTATTCGGCGTAGTGTCCACGCTTCGTCAAGTCAACCCTCGCCAACGACCGGAAACATGCCGAGGTGACGACTTTGCTGGTTGGAAGCTCCAACTCCAACCAGCCACATCGTCAGCATCTTCGGATAGCGCGAGCAAGTCGGTGTCGGGCTCGTGCATGGTCAGAAACCGAAGATTTCCCATCCCTCACGCGACCCGTTTGACTGGCATATATGACTGCCGATCGTTGAAACACGTTGAAACGTTAAATATTCCAGTCCCAAGGAGTGTTTGGGCACGAATGGGTTGTAGACGCTGTAGATTTAT